CTCACTGCTCTGATCCGCCTTCCCAGCGAGGCCAGCAGAGACCTGGGATTACTCAGTCCCTACCATTCCACTGCGAAGTCTTGGCTCAGCTCTCCCGCCAGAACCAGGCACATTGCTTCTGGCTTCTTGGCTGAGTGAAGACATCCAGTTATTACTCCCCCTCAGAAGGCAGGACACGGGTTGGCAGGAGAGGCAGCAGTGCACACATGGCACCATCAGGGTCTGTGCTGATCCTGGGTGCTCAGAGGGCCTACTGCAGTGGCTTTTGTACCAGTCCTGCCAGCACCCCAGGTAGAGGCAGAGCATGAGCACCTGCTGAGCTCTTTCCACTAGCTGCATGCTGCATCTTCTAAGAACAGGATATTTGAGAGGATTATTCAGCCTGCACGGTTTTTAAAGGCAGTTCCAAGCTAAGGAATTCCATCAATGCTTTTTTGGCAGCCACCAAATTTAGCAGTCCTGTGAAGTTTAGCAGGCCTGTGAAGTTTTCATATCTTGAAGAGATGTATTTTAAAACTTTTTTTAATGAAAAAATGTCAGACATACACAAAAGTAGAACTGTACCATGGAGTCCCCACGTACCCAGCCTGCAGCTTCAATAGTTCCCACATTTGCCAACTGGAGAGACAGCAAAGGCAGGAAAAAGCCCTGGAAGACCCACTGCCCCTTGTTCCCTTGGGGCAGAGGCCTCAGAGCTGGCTCCCAAAGCAGCCAACAAAACAGGCAGCTCCTTCATGGCACCAGCAGTGTTCCTGGTGCAGATGAAGAGTTGATGTCTTTGACAACATACAGACACTGCCTGACTACCCAAATGTCACATCTTAATTGCCAGTTGATGAAATTAGATAAATGAGAAGAAGGCACTTACATTTCTCCTCAGCATTTTAACATGACATGCAATCAGGTTTTATTTGCTAGTAATTATTTCTCCCCACTCTATCCCTCCCACCAGTTTCTCTCCCGAAGTCTCTCTGAGGCAGGTGTAAAGAGATAGATGAAGGTACAGCAGTTATGGCCTAAAGGGTCCACAGTTGGGTATTGGCACTACCGCAGTTTCAGGTGATCCTGGCCTTTTTAGAAATAGGAGGGGATGGAAAAATTACGCTTCAGCTGTTAAAAATATTTTTGGGGCATTGAGTTACTTTAAAATACATACTTTCTCTAAGCCGTTTTTATCTGAACTTCTAGAGTCTTTTCATTTTCTTGTTCAGAACATTTTGTAATATGTGAAACCTTTTATAATTAAAACTCTGCACTGCAGATTAAGTCTGACTTGTGGTTGTGTAAGATTCTAATGGATTAACAGCATTTTGTTTTGCAGGATTCCTGCCAGCTCCCAGGGGCTTTGGTTATAGAAGTGAAGTGGACTAAGTATGGATCCCTACTGAATCCACAGGCCAAAATAGTCAATGTAACTGCAAATCTAATTTCATCCTCCTTTCCTGAGGTAGGCCTAACCTAGTTTAAAGGCATAGGTTAAGATAGAAGTCTAGACACAACTCAAGTGTGGTAGGTGACAGGTATTACTTTGTGAAAAAGATGACAATTTAAACCATAGGGGTTCATGAAATACTTCAGCAGTCATTCTTTTACCTAGAAAGAAACACTGACGATGGTTCTATTTACATTAGCATCCTGGTTTAGATTGGATCTTTAAAATTCTCATAGAAATTATGATTGATATTCATGTGTTAATCAGACACCCTGATAAAATTGTTTCTCTCATCCAAGTTAATGGCCAGTCAGTGCTCCAGAACCTATCAGATTCATGAAGTGACAGTGGTTGAGTGAGGAAGAGAATGAAAAGTGTCTCATTGTTGTCATTCTGGGAGCACACTGGAGGGTGGGCCTTGCATCTGTTTATTACAGGCCAACTCAGGAAATGAAAGGACGATTCTTATTTCCACTGCGGTTACTTTTGTGGACGTGTCTGCACCTGCAGAGGCAGGCTTCAGAGCTCCGCCAGCCATCAACGCCAGGCTGCCCTTTAACTTCTTCTTCCCGTTTGTTTGATGTAAGTCATTATTTGAGGAAACTACGCCCCTCCTCTGAGGTCATCACCTTTGAAAAGTGTGCACATGGGTGCTAGAAGTCCCTAGGGGACACTGCATTTTATACTTTTTGAGATAGGGTCTCGCTTTGTCACCAAGGCTGGAGCACAGTGGTGTGATCGTGGCTCACTGTAGCCTTGACCTCCTGGGCTCAAACAATCCTCCCACCTCAGCCTCCTAATAGCTAGGACTACAGGTGTACACCAAAACACCTGGCTAATTTTAATATATTTTGTAGAGACAGGGTCTCGCTGTGTTGGCCAGGCTGGTCTCAAACTGCTGGGCTTAGGCGCTCCCCCTGCTTCGGCCTCCGAAAGTGCTGGGATTACAGATGTGAGCCACTGCGCCCGGCCTTATTATACCTGTGACCTTTGAGGTTGCCTCCAAACCAGCACACTACCCTTCCCCCCTCCCTTCCCACCTTTGTTCCTTTCGGAAATGTTATTCTGTTTGACTTTTGAATGGGGAATATGTTCAACACACAGGTCATAGATGGAACCCAAAAAGTCTTTGGGGAGATGGTAAAGAGAATGAACAGACCCTGAAGCAGCAGAGGCACAGGAGATTTGGCCAATTCACTCATCTCCTGCTTTGAGTTATTTTAAAAATACTGTTTTTAATTGAGGATTTTTCATTTTTAGGTTTGGTTGAAATTAGTATAGAAATAGCAAAATATTATATAAAATCATGTGAATAGAGTACACAGCCTTATGAAGGGATTGTCCCACAATTGCCATGTTAATTACAGTGGAGTCTTGGGTCTAACTGCCATTTCTGCACGAGGCACTGTAGCTAGCTTGCTCCCTGACTGGCAGGCTGGTATGGGTGCCACAGAGGAAAGAATACAGTAGGAGGGTCCAGGGGAAAGAGAGTGTTTATTTTATACAGTAATTGTACAGTAATTGAGGGAAAATGTCAGGTGGCAGAACACGGTGGAGCCAGCTAGAGGCTGGCTGATGCAGCTGGGGCACACAGAGCAGCAGCCTGAGTACTCCTTTTGTGGAAACTGAGACAAGGGAAGCTATTTAGAGCAGCTTGAAAATAAGACTTTTCTAGAGTGGGGTGGCAGCTAAAGTAGCTTCTTTTTCTTTCTTTCAGAATGCTCATATGAAAGGATACATTGGTTCCTTAATATACATGTGAAATTTGAAAACTGTACATTCAATGAGATTACATTTTATATACAACTAGCGATTGTCCAGCTTTGTTGCTCATTTTCAAGCAAGGCTAAAGTGTTCAACATGAGAAAATGTGATACATTTGATACAGTGCAGGGTGGGAATGAATGGGCAGCTCTTGGTGATACTGGGCCTTCCTTCCACAAGGCTGTGTCCACCCAGAATCCATGCTGGCAAGAGGGAGGAAGAGACATCAAACAGAACGTCTCACCAGTGGCCCAGGAGGGGCAGCTGTTCCTCTTGTGACAGCACAGGCCCATGAGGCAGTGTCTTCTCTTTGGCAGAAGCTGGTCTGGGTCTAGTTCACTTCGCCAAGAAGTCCGTGCTGTCGCAATAGCCTGTTGAGTCTTTCAATTTCTTGTTCCTATTGCAAAAGCAGACAAACACTGGCATTTGAGTGTCACCAGGGATGTGACAATCATTCAGTGAGCCGCAGGCACAGGGCCACAGAGATGAATGAAAGCTACACTCTGGCATTCAATCTGCTGAGGAGACTGCTATAATCAGATAGGCTCCACTGAGCAGCAGTGAGAAGACAGAGGTGGGGGACCTGGCAGAGCCCTGGGGTACAGGGTTGGGCAGAGCTTCAGGGAGGATGTGATGACTGGGCTAGCTCTGAAAGGATAGGCAAGCTCAGCCCAGGGAAGGGCACTCCAGGCACATGAGCAGCGCTGTGCTGCAGCAGAGGCCAGCTTCCCAGATGTGTCTTTTTTTTTTTTTTTTTTTTTTGGAGATAGCTTTGCTCTTACTGCCTAGGCTGGAGTGCAGTGGCATGATCTTGGATTCAACCTCCGCCTCCCGGATTCAAGCAATTCTCCTGCCTCAGCCTCCCAAGTAGCTGGGATTATACCCATGTGCCACCATGCCTGGCTAATTTTGTATTTTTAGTAGAGATGGCGTTTCTTCATGTTCGTCAGGCTGGTCTCGAACTCCCGACTTCAGGTGATCCACCCACCTTGGCCTCCCAAAGTGCTGGGATTACAGGCATGAGGCACCACGCCCAGCCCCCCAGATGTGTCTTCTTACCTTCTCAGAGCAGCTGAACTCAAGGTGTTGAATCTTGGCAGCCAACTGTACATTCATCTGTTTTAACCGTAAGAGTTGCCGTTCTGAACGTGTCTTAACTGAGATGATAATCCCTGAAATAAAATTGGGGGTCTCAGTGATGCTGGTTTCTAACTTGACCACTCAGGAAAAAAAAAATCTATATTCCTATGCTTGTATAGAGTTGAGAAGAGCGGTAACAGACACGCGAGACAGTCATCACTTCAGGGCATCAGAACTGGGAGGACAGGGTTTTACGTCTGAACTACTTTTAGTACCCAGTAACACAGTTATCTCTCTAGCTGGCATGGTTGAGAAATCCTTAAAAATAATCACTGACAAGATGAGCATTAGGCTCCTTAACCTAGAACCTGTTCACAATCACATGGGTGCATAGCAAGCAGCAGTGTGCTCAGGTGCCACGAAAGCACAGGCTGGGAAATGCCCTTTTCCCATAACAAGCATCTTCCGTAGGAACTCAAAGGCTTTTTTCTTTCCTTTAACAGGGTCCAAAATTTTTTTTTTTGAGATGGGGTCTCACTGTGTCACCCAGACTGGAGTGTGGTGGCACATTCTTGGCTTACTGCAGCCTCCAAATCCTGGGCTGAAGCAATCCTTCCACCTCAGCCTCCCCAGTGGCTGGGACTACATGTGTGCACCACCACACCCAACTGTTTGTATTTTGTTTTGTAGAGACAGGGTTTCACCATATTGCCCAGGCTGGTCTCGAATTCCTGGGTTCAAGCGATCCTCCTGCCTCTGCCTCCCAAAGTGCTGGGATTATAGGCATGAACCACTGCGCCCAACCTGTTTCGTTTTATTTGCTTTAATTGCTTGATGTAAACCTGCTCATACCAGCTCCTAAAGGACTGAAGAGGAAGAAAGTAGGAGAGGGAGGAGAGGAGGGGCAGAGAGGAGGCCTCTGTAACGGGAGCCACTGTGAACTCAGGCGCCCAGAGTGACTGTGCATCCAGGCCCTGGGTGCATGCCTGAGCCTCGCTCTCCATCCACAGCCTGGGAGTGCAGGAGACGTACCGTTGATGATCCGGGCCACCCGCCACAGCCGGAGCAGAATCAGCAGGCCAAGAGCCTCAAACTCATGCTTCCGGAACAGGAGGACAATGTCGAGGACGAATGAGACCACCACCACGACAGCATCCAGGATCTCAAACTTATGGTGAAAGAACTCCAGGCGGAAGACATATAATTTAAAGATAATCTCCATCATAAAAAAGCCCAAGATGGCGATGCTCATGTAGTGGAACACCTGAAGGGGACAAGGAACCACAGTCAGGGGAGATTGGGCCTCTGGGAGGTCAAGCTGCCCTTGCATGTCCCTGCTTGGTCACCAGCAAGAGAATTCATCTGTTGGACAAATCCAGATGCCACCAGACGCTGTTCTTGATGCTGGAAACAAAGCTGTGAACAAAGCAGATGAAGCCTCTGCTCTCCGAAGGGCAGTTAGGCAATGTCGTAATTAAAACATCCTCCAGACCCTTTGGACCAACAATTGCATAACTAAGAACTTATCCTATAGCTGAGCTCCCATATGCACAGGGACTAAGGATATTTATTGCAGCCTTGTTTGCAGAACAAACATTTTCTTTATTGTTTGTAAGACAACAGAAATGTCCAATAAAAGGCACTCTTGAAATAAATGGTGGCACCTCCATATGGGGCCTGAGGGACACAATTGTTAAAAAGACAAAGCTGGGTGTGGTGGCTCAAGCCTAGAATCCCAGTTACTCAGGAGGTTAGGTGGGGCCTCCTGCCCAGAACCCAGTTTGAGGCCAGCCTGGGCACCACGCAAGACCCCATCTCTAAAATAACTGAATGAATGGAGGCAAATCCATATGTTCCAATTAGGAGCGATTACCAAGGTAGATGAAAAGTGAAAAGCATTCTGAGATCTTGACTTATAAATACTAGTCCTGGCTGGGCACAGTGGCTCATGCCTGTAATCCTAGCACTTTGGGAGGCTGAGGTAGGCAGATCACTTGAAGTCAGGAGTTTGAGACTACCTTGGCCAACATGGTGAAAACTCGTCTCTAATAAAAGAAAAAAAAATGGAAAAAGCTGGGTGTGGTGGTGCATTCCTGTAGTCCCAGCTACTTGGGAGGCTGAGGCAGGAGAATTGCTTGAACTCAGAGTAGAGGTTGCAGTGAGCCAAGATCACACCACTGCACTCCAGCCTGGGTAACAAGTCAAACCCTGTCTCAAACAAACATACATACATACATATATACACTAGTCCTCCTCACAGGGAGGGGAGCATCGTACACTGGGGTCTGTTGGTGTTGGCTGTAGGGGGGACAGCGGGGGGTGGGGAGGTTGGGGAGGGGTAACATGGGGAGAAATGCCAGATATAGGTGATGGGGTGATGGAGGCAGCAAACCACATTGCCATGTATGTACCTATGCAACAATCCTGCATTATTAACATGTACTGCAGAACCTAAAGTACAATAAAAAAAAAAAAAACAAAACACCAGTCCTCACACTAAGGTAACCATTTCCAGATCTGGGACAGGGAAAGTACAATGTGGGCAAGGACGTCTTGTGCCAGAAAGCAAGGAAGTCTTCAAAGACATCACAGAGTCGTGTCAACAAGACCCAGCAGTCAGCTTGGAGAGGCTCACAGTGACATTTGGGACAATCTGAACATTGAAAAGAATGACTACGATTGATTGTAACAGTGAATAAAAAATTCACAGTGTGGCATATACACCCATGCGCACACACACACGTGGGAAAACAGGGAAGTGCCTTTTTATAGATTACTGACTACTAAATGTAGAAGGAAAGATAGAAAATCACCATTTTGCATCCCCCAGTGTAGTCACTAACTCAGGCAAGGATCACCAACAGATGCCAACTGGGGGAAGAGGAAATTTGCATGCTACCAAAGCAGTACCAGGCAGATGATTTACCAGTGCAATGGGAAAAGTGTCCCTGGCCAGTGGAGCAGGCCAGCATTCACTACCTAAATCAAGTGACCCAACTGAGGGGGACCCCTGGCGTGGTGTGTCTCCTGAAAATGCCACATCCAGAACATCGCCAACCAATGAAGATTGCCTACTAATCGAGCCCTGGACCTAATAGTGGTGTGCAGGAAATAAACAAGGCAGGGGACCTCAAAATCATCAGACAAATCCAGAACATGGGACATCCTACTGGCTGGGATCTTCCAAGAAGGAAAAAGAAAACGAGGAGGATTTTTTTTTTTTTTTTCTTTTTTGAGACGGAGTCTTGCTCTGTCACCCAGGCTGGAGTGCAGTGGTGCGCTATCATCTCACTGCAACCTCTGCCTCCTGGGTTCAAGTGATTCTTCTGCCTCAGCCTCCTGAGTAGCTGGGACTATAGGTGTAGGCTACCATGCCCAGCTAATTTTTGTATTTTTAGTAAAGATGTAGTTTCACCATCTTAGGGTGGTCTTGAACTCCTGACCTCGTGATCCACCCACCTCGACCTCCCAAAGTGCTGGGATTACAGGCATGAGCCACTGCGCCTGGCGAGGATTTTTCTAGGTTAAGAAAGCCCAGGGATGCCGAGTGCAGAGGTTCATACCTGTAATCCCAACACTTTGTTGGGCCAAGACAAGAGGATCACTTGAGCCTGGGAGTGCAAGACCAGACTGGGCAACACAGGGAAACCCTGTCTCTACAAAAAATTTAAAAATTAGGTGTAGTGGCACCTGCCTGTGGTTCTAGCTACTCAGGAGGCTGAGGCAGGAGGATGGCTTGAACCCATGAGGTCCAGTCTGCAGTGAGCTGTTTGTGCTACTGCACTCCAGCCTGGGTGACAGAGCAAGACTCTGTCTCAAGGAAAAAGAAAATTCCAAGGAGACATAACCAAATAGAATATTAGAATTCTCTATCCTAGTTTGAAAAAAAGTGCCATAGAAGACATTCTTGGGCTGGGCACAGTGGCTTGTGCCTGTAATCCCAGCACTTTGGGAGGCCAAGATGGGCAGATCACTTGAGGTCAGGAGTTTGATACCAGCCTGGCCAACACGGTAAAACCCTGTCTCTATGAAAATACAAAAATTAGTTGGGAGTGGTGGTGGGTGCCTGTAATCCCAGCTACTCTGGAGCCTGAGGCAGGAGAATTGCTTGAACGTGGGAGGTGGACATTGCAATGAGATGGGATTGTGCCTCTGTACTCCAGTCTGGGTGACAGAGGAGTGAGACTCTCTCAAAACAAAAACACAAAACAAAACATTTGGGATGAGTGAATAAAAGTGGTTGTTAGGCCGAGCGCGGTGGCTCAAGCCTGTAATCCCAGCATTTTGGGAGGCCGAGGGGGGTGGATCACGAGGTCAAGAGATCGAGACCATCCTGGTCAACATGGTGAAACCCCGTCTCTACTAAAAATACAAAAAATTAGCTGGGCATGGTGGTGCGTGCCTGTAATCCCAGCTACTCAGGAGGTTGAGGCAGGAGAATTGCCTGAACCCAGGAGGCGGAGGTTGCGGTGAGCCGAGATGGCGCCATTGCACTCCAACCTGGGTAACGAGTGAAACTCCATCTCAAAAAAAAAAAAAAAGTGGTTGTTAGGTGGGATTCTTGATCTTATTTTAGATCTGATGATGCTCACATGGCTCCGTGGGAGAAAGATCTTAGTGGGCATGTTGAAGTATTTAGGAGTGAAGGGTCCTGATATCAAATGATCAGATGGAAATGTGTGTTTCTGTGGGAATGTATAGTAACAAGGCAAACACAGCAAAATGTGTCTTTGCCATTTTTCATGATAAAAAATTGAGAAAAACAATGAGTATAGCAGGTATGTCAATGGAGTCTATTAAAAATAGAGGAAGAGAGCCAAGTGCAGGGTCAGGCGCCTGTAATCCCAGCACTTTGGGAGGCAAAGGCCAGTGAACTGCTTGAGACCTGGGGTTTAAGACCTCAAGTCTCTGAGAAACATGAAAAAAATTATTTAAGAGAAAATAGATGGACAGAGAAGATTCTCCTCCTTCTATGCCAGCATAGATGTCACAGGGCTGCCTCTGGGAAAGGTGCCAGGAAGAAGGAGGAGATTTAATATTTCCTTCTGCCTTTTTCACCACTTGCAAAGACATACATTTGCATATCAATTCCATTTTGTTTTTCAAAAAATGGGCATGGTGGTGGGGAGGATGCTTTTTTTTTTTTTTTTTTTTTTTTTTGAGACAGAGTTTTGCTCTTGTTGCCCAGGCTGGTGCTATTGGCTCACTGCAACTCTGCCTCCTGGGTTCAAGCAATTCTCCTGCCTCAGCCACCTGAGTAGCTGGGATTACAGGCATGCGCCATTATACCCAGCTATTATTTGTGTTTTTAGTAGAGATGGCGTTTCATCACATTGGCTAGGCTAGACTCGAACCTCTGACCTCAGGTGATCCACCCGACTTGGCCTCCCAAAGTGCAGGGATTACAGGTATGAGCCAACATGCCTGGCCAGAGATGCATTTTTTTTTTTTTTTTTTTTTTTTTTTTGTTGTTGAAAACGAGATCTCGCTATATTGCCCAGGCAGGTCTCAAACTCCTGGGCTCAAGCTGTTCTCCCACTTCTGCCTCCCTAAGAGCTGGGATTACAGGCGTGAGCCACAGCGCCCAGCCCCAGAGATGCTTTTAATTATCCTGATCTCCTCCCTTGGCACCGAGGCAGGGTGTGTCCACCACCCCTTGGGTGAACGTCTGGGATGGGCTCAGTAACTGAATCAGTGAATAAACAGCACATCCTCTGATGACCCAGCATGGGTACCATGCAGACCATCAACGGAAGACAGGAGAAATGCCCCTCCTGCCCCAGAGATGGCAGAGTGGATCCACCCCACACACTCCAGCTCACTAGCCTAGCATTGCCCAGGATTCCAGCCATCATGTGAAACAAGGTTTCCTGCTTGTAGTAAATGCTTATCCATAATTTGGAAAGGAAGATGAAAACACCTATTAAACCACCACAGACCTTGCTACTCCAAGCGGTGTGTCAGCTGCTCCATTCTGCACCCCTTCTGTGCATATAAACATAAGCAAAACATACCTGAAAGACCACAGAAGAATGGCCAACCCCCACCCTGGTGGCATTGTTATTCTTGTGAGGCTGGGTGATCGTCAGGTCCAGGATGAGCTCAGCAAGCACCAGGAGGGCGTCCAGAACCACTAAGCAGATGATGATGACCTGCAGATGAGGGAAGGCACCAGAGACTGTGAGACCCACATGGAGGCCCTCCCTCTTCCCATCATTAAGAGCTGGCTTGGAAGCACATGGGTGAAACTGCTGGGCAAAGCCATAAAGGATGGGAGACCATGACCACAGCTCTCCAGAGCTGCCCCTCCCTTTTACCCCCCTGTTAGGATGGAGGCTGTGCAGGGCCAGCTCCTCTTCGGGAGAAGCCGCCAGCCTCCTTTCTGCCACCCTCCCAGCCTGCTCTGCCTCCAGGCGGTGACCCCCTTCCCTGCCTTCCCAGAACATCTTTGGCTCATTTTCTGACCCTTGGTCACTATTTCTGAAATACCACCTCTCAAGCCAAACTGCCCATGTCTAGATGCAACAAATAATCATTTTTTTAATTTGTATTTTTCTTACTTTTTTTTGTTGTTGAGGCAGAGTCTTGCTCTGTCACCCAGGCTGGAATACCGTGGCATGATCTCGGCTTACTGCAACTTCTGCCTCCTGGGTTCAAGCAGTTCTCATGCCTCAGCCTCCCCAGTAGCTGGGATTACAGGCACGTACCACCACCAAAATAAGTTTTGTATTTTTAGCAGAGACAGCGTTTCACTAAACATGTTGAGCATGTTGGCCAGGCTGGTCTTGAACTCCTGACCTCAGGTTATCCACCCACCTTGGCCTCCCAAAGTACTGGGATAACAGGCGTGAGCCACCGTGCCCAGCCAAGTTTGTATTTTTTTATTCCTGGGGACTGCTGTTGCTGGGGTGCTCATAGAACAGATGCTCAATAAATAACACGGCCCCACCTCAGCAGTCTGAGTCCTGGAAGGGACCTTGGGGACTGCCTACTGCAGGCCATTCGGCTATAGGGACAGCTGCTGTGCTCACAAACCAGCTTGTGCCCAGAGATGTGAGATGCCTGCCCCAGCTCACGTGTGCTCACAGTGGGTGAAGAGGGTGAAGGGGAGAGGAGTCCTGGGTGTCCTGGAGAATTGAGGAGAGCTGCTATGGGAAAGACAGCCTCTTGGGCTTTGTGATGGGCTGACAGAGAACTGATGGTGGCTATGGGAAGCAGCTGGCAGTGATGGCAGTCACAGTGACAGCTGATGATGATGTTGGCAAGGGCACTGATAGCAGGGTGGAGGTGATCAGCATTGGGGATACCATGGTGGCAGTGGAAATTCAGCAGTGGGAGGAGCCCCAAAGGACCTCGAGTGACCCCTCTCTTCCCTTGGAAATTCCATATCCTCACTGTCCTCCCCCTGGGTTTAGCCTCTCACGCTCTCAGATCAATAGATTCTGGCCTCTGAAAATTAATATGCCATTATTTTGGTAGTTTCTGCAGTTTCAGGTTAAAATGAAAGAAGTTCAGGTCTCTGCAAGAACAGACTACTAATCCTTTCATCCTTTCAGCCTGTAGGTAATTATTTCAGTAATTAAAGTATTTGATGACGTGGTTTATTGTGAAAATTGCATGGCACATTGCTTTGTAATGAAGTTTTCACACATATCCAAATTCAGCAAGCTTAATAAAGGTGCAAGCCTCTAGTGGGGTTTTTGTTTTTCCTTGGATTTATTTTGGAACTAAAGGGATCTGAGAGCTCATGTGATGTAAAACCAAGCCACAGAGCTACAAGGGACAGACCTGATATTCAGCCATGAAAAGGATGAGGTTCTGACCCATGCTACTATGAAATTGTCATACTTAGTGAAAGAAGGCAGACAGAAAAGATCACATTATGTGATCCCATCTATATGCAATGTCCAGAAATGGCAAATCCAGAGAGACAGAATGCAAGTTCATGGTGGCCTAGGGCTGGGGGAGGGGTAATGGGGAATGGCTGCATGACTGCTGATGGGTACCAAGTTTCCATTTGAAAATGCTGTGGGGCCAGGTATGGTGTCTCACACCTGTAATCCCGGCACGTTGGGAAGCTGAGGCAGGCAAATTACGTGAGGCCAGGAGTTCGAGACTAGCCTGGCTAACATGGTGAAACACCACTTCTACCAAAAATACAAATAAATTAGCCAGGTATGGTGGCACATGCCTGTAATCCCAGTTACTTGGAAGGCTGAGGCAGGAGAATCTCTTGAACCCAGGAGGTGGAGGTTGCAGTGAGCTAAGATCACGCCGTTGCACTCCAGCTTGGGCAACAAGAGCAAAACTCTTGTCTTAAAAAAAAAAAAAGAAAAGAAAATGCTCTGGAAGTAGATAGTGGTGACTTGTACAACATTGTGAATGTATTAAATAAATGCCACGGAGTCATGCACTTAAAATTGATTGTTTTGTGAATCTCACCTCAATTTAAAAAAAGAAACAACACAAAAGAAAAATGAGAGACCAACCCAAGGTCACAAAACTACGATGCCCAGATACCAACCCTGGCCTCTGTGAAAACTTGTCCCTGGGGCACTGAATCTGCCAGTTCACAGGCAGTGCTGCTTCTGAGGGGAACCAGGTCACAAAGAAAAATGCTGAGAATTCAGAGAAGCTGCTTCATTCCAAATCCTCACCCTGGCAAAGACTGCAGGGTCCATGCTGTGGGGTGGCCAGTCCTGGGCTCAGCTCCCAGCTCCCTCATCTACCTGGACCTTGGGCACATCTCTCAATGCTGGAAGCTTCAGCGTCCTCTTGGGGAAAATAGGGTCTACCCCAGAGCGACAAGGGGAGCATGACATGAGTGAAATGTGAAGAGCGTTTAGCACAGGGTTGGCCTGCAGTGCATGGGAATGAAAGCGAAGCTCCCGGACCCCCAGGACCGTCTTCCCTTGGCTCGACTCTGTCCTGCCCATTCATGGCTTCCTTGGGCTCTGAATCACCCCATATTCTCGCCCTGGGTTGTGCTGTCCCATCTGAGAAGGGACTGCAGTTAACTTTTGATATATTAAGCACCTTGGCCATCTCAAACCACCCAAGTAAGGGATCCCAGGACCTTCCTGCCAATCCTACCTGCAGAGACCACAACCCTGAGCCTTCCCGCCTACTCCGGTGTGGCCTTGCTGCTGCTACCAAGTCACTCTACAAATCTGATCCCCAACTCATGCACTTAGAGCCTTATAAGGCAGCCCATGGCCCATGGATGACCTTCCCTGGCCTCTTCTCTTGCTAAGTGCCTGCTGGCGACATCCACACCCGAGCCACGTGTGTCCTTCTCAATTCCTCCAATGCTGCAGGCCTTTGGCAACCAAAGCCCCTCTACCTGGAAGGTCCCCCCACCACCCATCCATGGGGCTCACTCCTGCTCGGCATGCAGGTGTCACCTCCTCCAACTCCAGTCGCTGATCAGGTCCCCCTACCCCCAGGACTTCTCAGAGCCTCTCTCCTCCCCGCGGAAGGCTTCTCTCCAATTGTAATCAGCGTGTTTCGGTTATTGCTCCTGTCATTCCTGCCTCTCTGCAGCCTGCCAAATTCTCTGTAAGGGCAAAAATGTGTCTGCCACATTTGTCAACTGTACATGACTGGTGCTCAATAAGTGACTGTTGGGTGGGTGGATAAACCCCTCCACTCACTTTGTGACAGGGATTTGTCTTTCTCCCCACCAGGAATGTCTCTGGGGGTCCTGGCTCAGGGGCCAGCCCCCAGCCCTAAGCCCAGGCAGGATGGGGACATCTTGAGGAGGTGGCCCAGGGCTCCCCTTGCAGCTACAAGGAAGCTGGTTCCTTCCTTCTGCTCCTGAAATTGAGGGTTTGGGATTTTGACCCCAACAACTTAATACCACGTTTCCTTTCCCGTCACAGCCACAGAGGAGCTGGGCCTCCGGGCGCTCTGGCATGGCAGCTGGCTTGCTTCTCTGCTTTCAGCCACACAAGAGCGGGGAAAAAAAAGACCAAAATAGTTTTTCTCTCTTTTACCCTGGAATAAAGTCAGTGATGGAAGAGACAAGGGCTGCATCTCTCTGCTTCCCGAAGGGGGACAGGCTTTAAGGAGGGACAGGTCTATTTTGGTTGGGGCCATCTGCAGCAGCATCCCCCAAATGCCAGCCTTTGAGAATTGTGTGCTTCCCTGTCATCCCCAGGCCTGTGCCCTTCCAGGACTTGAATGTGCTTCCAGTCACTCAGACACAGGCTCTGCAACCTTGGGGATGGGGATGGGATCCAGAGAGGGCTGACCAGTCTCTGCCTGCTTTTGTCCTTCAAAATCAGAAATGTCCGTCTGGGTATGGTGGCTCACGCCTGTAATCCCAGCACTTTGGAACGCCAAGATGGGAGGATTGCTTGAGACCAGGAATTAGAGACCAGCCTGGGGAACATAGCAAGATCTCTTAAAGAAAAAAAAAAAAAGCCCTTTTAAATGGCAGGCCATGGCTAGGCATGGTGGCTCACGCCTGTAATCCCAGCACTTTGGGAGGCTGAGACAAGCGGATCACTTGAGGTCAGGAGTTTAAGATCAGCCTGGTAAATATGGTGAAACTCCGTCTCTACCAAAAATACAAAAATTAGCCAGGCATGGTGGCGGGTGCCTGTAATCCCAGCTACTCGGGAGGCTGAGGCAGGAGAATCACTTAAACCCCATAGAAAGTTCAGTTACCTTTGCTCATCTGTAAGGACCGCCCTGCTCGGCTTTCTCCCTGTAATCACATCTGGAGGCCAGCAGTGGGTTAAGGCCAGGACAGGCAGGTGTTTTGGGCATCACTCCACCAGAGAGACCGAGGCCGCAGTGCGATGCGTCTCTGTGAGGCAGGGGAGCCTCTGGCACTGAGTTTCACAGAATGAACGGGTATTTTTTCTGTCTCCGTTATCTACCCTTTATTTACTTTTTTTGTGTGTGGTAAAATTTGCATAACGTAAAATTTACCATTTTTAAAGCTGGTGTAAAGTTCAGTGGCATTCAGTCCATTCCCAAGGTTGTGCAATCATCGCCACTAGAATTCCAGAACATTTTCATCACCTCGAATGGAAACATTCCCACCTGTGGCAGCCGCCAACCTGCCTCCTGTATCTGTGGATTTGCCTGTTCTAGACATTTCGTATCAATGGAATCTTACACTCTGGCCTTTTAGTCTGGCTTCTTTCCCTCAGCACCATGTTTTCAAGGTTCATCCACATTGTGCCATGGGTCACTTCTTTGCCTTTAATGTTGGCATCATATTCTACTGTACGGACCGAACACATTTGGTTTAATACTCATCCGTTAGTGGACCTTTTACTTTTGGATCATGGCTCTTTGCTCCCTGACAACTCAGAATCTGCCTACCGCATGCCCAGCACGGTACAGGGTGCCTGGCACATGCTAGGTGCTGGGAAAACACTTGTAAAATGAATGAGGCAGGGGCCAAGATGGGCTCAGCCCTGCTGCCCGCCTCACATTCTGAGAGCTCTCCAACCAGCCCTGGGCCTCCCGGACTCCAGCCCCACCTACCTGAAACCTGTGGGAGCTGAACAGTTTCCTCAACGTGCCCCTGAAGTCAAGGGGGGTCCTGGGCGCGGGGCCGGGGGCAGTGTCAGGGGCTGCAGCTCTGCCTTCCTCGCCTGAGGCTGGTGTGGGTGGCGGCTGCTCTTCCTCCTCCTCGTCCTCTTCATTCTCCCATTTCTTGTAGTTGATGTTCCAGGCCTGGTAGTCGTCCCCCACGACCGTGAAGTGCCTTAAGAGCTTGCTCATCCTCTCGGCGGGAGCCACCTTGGCCCTGCGGGTGACTGCCTAGAGGGCAGAAACAGAGAGCAAGAGCTTCAGCCAGGTGGCCCTGGGGCCCTCTGGACCACTCAGAGCCCACATGGCCCAGGCCGGGCCAGGCCACCGTGGGTGAAGACAGCCCCGGGTGCTCAGAGCCCCCTGTGAGCAGAGACCATGAGGTCACGGTGGTTTCTCGTGCTTTTATTTTTGGAATCCAGGGTCTCAGTGTCTGTGAGGTAACAGGAAACTCTAGCCCCCAGCAGGCCTGTCGCCGTGGTCTGCTTGGCAGTAACCAACGGAATCAGTACTGCAGCCCGTTCCAGAACACCCCCCATGGGCCCATGCTTGAATATTGGAAGGGCCGCCCCAAGGTTCAGAGACGTCACAACCCAGAAACCGGAGGGGACTGTGGGCAGGGCGTGGGGCGGGGAAGCCAAAAGTAAAAGTACACAGAGTTTCACAGAGAAGTCGCGAGATCCCCACCCATCACGCCACACGTCAGACTGGACAGGCACGTGGCAGGTGGACATTTTCCAAGTTCAGCCAGAGCTATTTCCGTGGACAGCAGTTTAAAGCAAAAGCAAATATCCCTGTGCCCTCTCTCCATTTTGCTCAACTTGCCCTACCAGGAACCAAATTTTACATACATTTAAATAATTAATATGCATAGGTATGAGTGCAAAAGCAGGCTACATGACTCTTGGAACAGGAAGAGAGAGCCCAATGTCCTTGTGGGAGGCTTGAGGAGAGGGGGTGGCAGTCCAGATCCATGGGAAAGAAAGGCTGGGGAGGCTGGGATGCCTAGCTTTCTCAATAGGAAAAAAAAATCCAATCCCCACCTTGCCCCACACATAGAATACATTTCAGATGCACTAACATTACTGTGTAAAGTGTATTAAAAAAGGAACAACTTAAAAAGTCTTAGAACAAAATATAGGCAAGTAACTTCATGAGCTTAGGATAGGGAAAGATTGCTTAAATAACAGAAAACACCACAAAATAAGTTGGGCACGGTGGCTCACACCTGTAATCCCAGCACTCATCCATGGGCTGAGGCAGGTGGATTGCTTGAGATCAGGAGTTTGAGACCAGCCTGGCCAACATGGTGAGACCCCATCTCTACAAAAAATATAAAAATTAGCTGGGCATGATGGCACATGCCTGTAATCCCAACTATTCAGGAGGCTGAGGCCCCAGAATTGCTTGAAGCTGGGAGGTGGAGGTTGCAGTGAGCCAAGATCATGCCACTGCACTCCAGCCTGGGCAACAGAGACCCCCCACCAAAAATGAACAACACAAAAACAAACACAAATAGATTTGACTCCATCGAAACTAAAAGCTTTACTATGACACACACACACACACACACACACCCCTACAAAGTTAGAAGACACACCACAGACTGGGATATTTGCGATGTATTTGATAGACAAAGACTTAGTATCCAGAATATACAAAGAAATCTTATAAATCAAAAAGATTGAGGAGAAACTCCATGGGAAACTGGGCAGTGGCTGTCAATAGGCAGCTTGTGTAAGAGAAAACCCAGATAGCCAAGATGCTCATCCCCACTAATACTCAGAAAAACGCAGGGTCAAGTAACAACCACACAACTTTTCACTCCTCAGGTTGACAAGAGTCTTAAAGTCTACAACATCAAATATTGGTGAGGGTGGGAAGCAGCAGGGTCTCTCGAATACTGAAGATAGATATAGGTACCAGCACCATCATTTTGGGAAGCAATTTGGCATGGTCTTGTCAAGTTGAAGTTGTGTGTACCTTTCTGAATGATCTAGTGATTCCATCCCTACATCCAAAGAGAACTTGGGCACATGTGCTCAAACAGGTGACATGTTTAAGAATGTTCATGCAAATATTCACCTAGTTGGCCAAGTGTGGCTCACATCTGTAATCCCCACACTTTGGGAGGCTGAGGTGGGAGGATTTCTTGAGTCCAGGAGCTGAGACCAGCTTGGGCAACATGGCAAGACCCTGTCTCCACAAAAACAAAAAAAATTAGCCAGGCATGGTTACACACACCTGTAGTCCCAGCTACTTGGGTGGCTGAGGCAGGAGGATTGCTTGAGCTTAGGAGGTCCAGGCTGCAGTGAGACATGTTCTTCAGCCTGGGCAACAGAGTGAGACTCTGTCTCAAAAAAGAAAAAAATAATAATTCACCTAAATGTGGGAGACAGAGAAATGAATATTCTCTGTTCATGTGATGGGACACTACACAGCTGTTAAAATGAATTAACTGCATCTCGGTAGGTCACTGGTGATGCCTGTGAGTACCTACTTGGCAGCATGGGACACAGTAGACCAATCACTCCTTTCTTCAAACACTTCCTTCATTGGCTTCTGGGATGCTGCAGTCTCCTGGTTTTCCTGCTACCTCCTACCAGTGGTTGTTTCTTGCTAGTTTCTTTTTTTTTTTTCTTTTTTTTCTTTTTCTTTTTCTTTTTTTTTTTTTGAGAACAGAGTCTCGCTCTGTCGCCGGGAGCCAGGCTGGAATGCAATGGCGAGACCTAGGCTCACTGCAACCTCCGCCTCCCGGGTTCAAGCAATTCTCCTGCCTCAGCCTCCCGAGTAGCTGGGACTATAGGCGCATGCCACCACGCCCAGCTAATTTTTTGTATTTTTAGTAGAGACGGGGTTTCACCATGTTGGCCAGGATGGTGTTGATCTCTTGACCTCGTGATCCGCCCGCCTCGGCCTCCCAAAGTGCTGGGATTACAGGCGTGAGCCACCGTGCCCAGCCTCTTGCTAGTTTCTTTTGGCCAGTGAATACCTTAGAGGAAGACCTTACATTTAATTTTCTTTTCTTTTCTTTTTTTTTTTTTTTTTTTATTTAAGAGACAGGATTT